CCCTGCTGAGCAGGGAGCCCGATGCGGGACTCGATCCTGGGACTCCAGGATCATGACCTGAGCCGAAGGCAGTTGCTTAACCAACTGAGCCACCCAGGCACCCCTAGAAGTACATTTTGAAACTTCCAACCATGTTAGGTTTTTTTGATTATCTTTTTATTGCTTGTTTTTAATTTAAATGCATTGTCAGAAAGGATGATCATGATTCTTTCAAATTCCTGTAAGAATTCAGAATTTGGTCTTTTTCTTTTAATTTTTGGTATATAGTCTCTGTGTTTTTGAAAAGATGCATGTTTACTAATACATTAGATCAAATGTGATAATTTATTCCAGCCTTCTATATCATTTCTATTTGATCTGTCTGTTTCTGATAGAGTTGTATATAAATCTCACACTACAGTTGTGAATTTGTCTATTTGTCCTTATATTTACTGGACAAAAAAATCCAATCTGATAATTTTTGCTTTTAATAGGTGAATTAAATCCATTAACATTTATTATGAATACTGATAGATTTATTCTGAAGATCTTGTTTTGTGGAGTTTTTTGGCCATCATTTTTCTTTGCCCTTATTGATCTTTCCTACATCCTGCAGAATTGATAGTTTCCTATATTCCTCTTATTTCTTTCCATTCCTTTATTGTTAAACCTTAAGTTTTGAAGATATGTTTTCAAGCATTAAGAGACCTTAAGTTTTGAGACACACTAAATAAATATGGACTTTTATGGAAAAATTGACAGTTAAATGCCTATTTCTATTCTCTTCCTATTAATGATGAAGGCTTTAGCATAAATTACCTGTTGAACAGTCCTTTCTTACCATGATGTTTTTTTCTTACAGTTTTGGCTTTTGTGTTCTTTCAGAAGTATGTTTCTTTTTTTGCTGAGGGTCTGGGAGTAGCAAACCTTATAATGTCTGTTTATTTGAAAATGTCATTTATTTTGCCCTGGTTTTAAGTGATGTGTAACTGTTATTTCCCCTCAGGTCTTTGAAGATAATTACTCCATTGTCTTCTAGCTTCTATTGTTTTCTCAGTTTAACTGCTATTCCTTTTCAAGTATTTTGTCCATAGCCTCTGGTAGACTTTAAGATTGTCTCTTGTACACTATATAGTTTCACTATGATATATCCAGGTGATTTGTTCAGATTTATTTTGATTAATTTTCTTTCTCAATGATTATCTCTTCAGATACTGTTTCTTTACCATTTTTTTTCCTTCTTCTATGACCCCTATTATGTGGATGCTGGAGCCATTTATTCTAGCTATTATTCCTTTGAATTATTTTGTCACATTTGTGTGCATTCTAGATGAGCTCCCAATAATATCTTCCAATTTGGTAGTTTACTATTTGCCAGAGTCTGATCTCGAGTGGATCTCACAAATTGCATTTTTTAAATTTATTTGACAGAGAGAGACACTGAGAGAGGGAACACAAGCAGGGGGAGTGGGAGAGGGAGAAGCAGGCTTCCCGCAGAGCAGGGAGCCCGATGTGGGGCTCAATCCCAGGACCCTGGGATCATGACCTGAGCTGAAGGCAGACGCTTGATGACTGAGCCACCCAGGTGCCCCTGCATTTTTAATTTCAATTACAAAATTATTCATTTTGAAGAGTTCTAAATGTTTCCTTAGCTTGGCTCAGTTCCCAATATTAAAATTGTGTCTTTGACTCTTACCTACCTTCCTCATGGCTTCTGATAAAACTGTAATTCCAAATAGCATGTCCTTGTCAACTTTTCTTCAGCTTGCTTTCTTGAGTGGGCAACTCTAGCCCAGACCTAGAACCTAGCAGTAAACAGGTCTCCAATCTTCCTTACTCCATAGGAACCAGACTCCCTACAGCCACAGTCAGTTTCTTGTCCTGGATTCTGGGAAAGCCTTCAGTTTGAGCCAGTCCAGTACCTCCTCCTCCCGTCTCATTGTTTTTCAGCCTCTTCTGCTGCTGGTGCTTCTTGAAGAAATTTATCCTGTACTTAAGCTTGGCTATACCTTTTTGGTTTTATCACTTTGTTTTATTTGTCTTTGGCATGACCTGGAATAGAGGGTGTCTGTGATCTGGAAGTTTCCTTGGGTGGCTCTTACTAGCTCTCACATCATAGGCTGATCTAATTTAGTTAACATCCATTACTTTGCAATATATGTATATCAAGTGATTATCCTGTATACCTTAAACTTATTGAGGTATAATTGACTTACAGCACTGTGTAAGACTAACCCCACCCCCCAAAATCCACAAAGTGCTCTGGGAAGTTAAATAAGATAATAAATTAGAAATCATATAAATAGGTACCTGGTATATGATTTTAAGCTTTTTGTTTTTATAATTATCACTGACTACAAGAATTTAATGAGAAAGCTGTCATTGCCTTCTTAGATACTGAAATGTGATATCTGGACATGCTTGAGATGTGTTTACATGAAGGTAGCCTTCTAATCTTTTATCCTGAAATTAAATGGAGAGCATATACCTCCCTAACACAGCCTCAAGTATGGTCAGCCTACTGTTTTCCTCATCTCTGAAATACCCCAAAAGTTTTTAACAAAAAGACCTATTTTTGCAACAAATTATCTCATGGTTTTATAGATCTTAGTTTTATAATCCTGGATTGATGATAAGCAAGTTGAGGTGAGGGACTTTATCTTTTATACCTGTCTCATCCCTGTACAAGTGGGACACAGGAGTTCAGTAGTTATTTATTATTTTTATTTTTTATGTTCAGCTAGTCATCATACAGTACATTAGTTTTTGATGTAGTGTTCAACGATTCATTAGTTGCATATAACACCCAGTGCTTACCACCACACGTACCCTCCTTAATACCCATCATGCTGTTACCCGCCCCCAACCCCCCCATAATCGTCAGTTTGGTTCCTGGAGTCCAGAGTCTCTCATGGTTTGTATCCCTCTCTGATTTCTTCCCATTCAGTTTTCCCTTTCTTCCTCTGTGGTCCTCCATGCTATTCCTTATATTCCACATATGAGTGAAACCATATGAAACCATGAACTATCTGCTTGACTTATGGAGTGGATCAATGATACAGAGTAAAACAACTGAAATTTTTTAGGTCAAAGGGGTTCTGAGGTACTTACCCAGGTCTTCATTTCCATCGCCTGGTGCAAGAGGATTGTGGTGAGGGAGATGGTATTGATGGGTGTCCCAAAGGTAAAGACATCAATATCAGAATCTTTGTAGGTCTGCAGAGGAGGAAAAAACAGGCATTATTAGATATGCCCTGGGATTCAAGGTAGGTGTCATGGGAGGGGAAGGAATGAGGAGAAGATATGCAGCTGCCATCCATGGGGAACTGCCCCAAGGAACAGACAAGATGAGGAGTGAGTTAATAGGGCTAAATTCTTTGGAAACACATTTGTGGCAGAAGACATGATGGTTATTCCAGAACATTGTGGAATGAATGAACAAAGAATTTATTGGGCAACCAGCAAGCACAATGAAAACTGCTGAAGATACTTCTGTGTCCACCTTCAAGGAGTTTGTAGTCTACTAGGCAGGGAAAATGTGGTACAATTAAGGGGATAAATCATACAATGGTACAAGGTATACAAAATACCCTGGGGGTACAGAAGAGAAGATAATCAGCTGAGACCGTAATAAGAGGAGTTAATCTCTTGAAAAGAGAGAGGAAAGGCAGACCAGGCAAAGGTGAGAACTTGAGGGTGAAAAGTTCAAATAAGCCTAGATGGTAGGTTTGTTGAGCACAGAGCGGGGGCAAAAAATGAAGCAGGAAAGGCAAGCAGAGCCCTGGAGAAGGAAGGTATTGTAAAACAGGAAATTCAAATGAAGCACAAAATGACTGCCTCCTTGACCCATCTTGTTGCTAACTGCAAAAGAATGTGAGGTGGGGTAGACACCACAGTTTTGCACTTGCCCCACTTTCTGGTTCCCTATCCAGGAGAAATAGAGCTATACTTCACTATCTCAATTCCCACTCTTTAAACTGGGAACTAAATTGAGACGGGGCTGGTATCCCTTGCTTTTATTTCAGATAATGTAGTATCCCTTATTAGCAGAACTTACTGCCTGAATGCATGCTGCCCCGACCTTGGAATCACAAATCTAAATATAAATCAAATACCCTCAGTGTTCAAGTAAGAAATGGTAAATGAGTGTAGAAGACTAGGTATAAGACAAAAGGGAGTGGTAGGGACCATGGCAAACTGGAGAACATGCACCCCATCTAAACAGGGCTGTGAGTCAATTCTGGATTTTTGCCATGTGGGAAAAATGACCCAGTGTAATGATAGCTTCCAGTTTTTCAAAAGCTGGCAGAAATTAAGATGTTTTCAAACACTCTGAGTTGGATGTAGTCTGCAGACTACCTGCTTGGAGCCTCTGTGCTGCAGTGTCCAGAAAGACACTACTAGTCTAGGATTTCATATTAATAGGACCAGTTCCACTCTGTGATTTGTGTGGTTAGAATGGGATTATAGAACTTACCAGGTATGGAATGAAGAAACAGACAAGGCTCTGGTAGAATGCATCCACTATGGAAATCCAGAAAGTCATCGGGTTGTAGCACTGCCAGGAAAGAACACATGAACCCCCCTCAAAGAAAGCCTCTATTCTTTGTAAGCAACTTTCTTGTGCTACCTGGACAGAAAATATGGTATTTACAGTGTTCTTAGAGGTAACAGAATGGGAAAATTAAGAGCATAGACCTGGGGATGACAGACCTTAGTTCAAGTCCCAGCTCTGCCACTAACTGTATGACCTTGTGACAGTCATTAAGCTGCTTTGATAACTGGTTCTTCTTCCACAAAAAGGATAAAAACAACACCAACTATCTCATTGGGTTTTGAGAAATCTAAATACAATTGTGCTTTAGTACCCAGTAAGTGCTCAGTTATTAATAACTACCATTCAGGGCGCTTGGGTGGCTCAGTTGGTTAAGTGACTGCCTTTGGCTCAGGTCATGATCCTGGAGTCCTGGGATCAAGTCCCACATCAGGCTCCTGGCTTAGCAGGGAGCCTTCTTCTCCCTCTGACCCTCTCCCCTCTCATGCTGTTTCTCTGTCTCTCTCTAATAAATAAATAAAATCTTTAAAAAAAATAACTACCATTCATTAGCACGTTACTAGTGCTAATACACACTTGGTAAGTTTAGAGATTCTAAGGTTTCTACATAATATCTGATGGAGAGGGAGCTCTCCATCACAGTCCAGGATCACAGATTCCCAAGAGACAGGGCTCAAGGGCTTCAGAGACAAGTGTTCTCATTTTTGCTTCCCTCTTCCTGCCTTCCCTCGAAAAAGAAACTGTTTTCAGTTTGTTTTTGCTACATTAACTTTTCTCACTGTTAGATACTCAAGGAATACATTATACATCTAGCACACCACTGGGAGGAGAAAAATCAGAAGAGCTATGGGTGTATGTGTGCCATTACCACATCTCTCTTGCCTGATGTGCTAGGGTTGCTGTGTTGCTCTCCTCCCATTTTTGGGTTAGGACTGGGCTTGGTTCTTTGTCGGCTGTCCACAAAATATTACTAGCTCTCAAACACCACATCTGGCTTGGCCCTCCTTTCTCCCAGGCACAGAGATATGCTTATGCATTTCAATGTTCCTTTTCCCAGAACTCTTCCTTCAAGGCAGTCAGGTTCCCTGTCTGTCTCTTCCATCTAGTCTCTGGGCTGTGTCTGTGCCGGTCTGACTTCTCCAAACCGTTCAGGGTGTCAGTGTGACCTCTTTTTGCCTTCTAGGAGATCATCCTGGTGGTTTCCTAGGCCTTCTTTAGTCTATGGGCTACCAGCAAATTCCAGACTGTGTATAATCTCGAGTTCTAAACTTTCTTTCCCGACATGAGGTAGAAGCCTTCATTTGTGAACACCTCACCCCGTGATGAGCAAACTAGCTTTTAATCCCAGGGGTTCCTAACCCAAGCCTTGGGGGGTTCTGTCAAAGGCCTGGAGAAAGGGGCCAGCTGAGGACAATGGGATCTTTCTGTATGTCCTCTCCCCATGCAATTAGGGCAATCCCATGTTAAACATGTGATATAATGAAGAAATAACTCAAAAGAAAAATACCCACTGGTCTCATCCATCACCCTCAACAACAAATGGAAAACAGGCCAGGAATGGGGAGTGGAGATACTGGGTCACATGGGAGATAAGAGGCAAAGTGGTGACCTGAGTGCAATGCCCCTGACCCCAGATCAGTGCTCTTTCTCTGGCAGGGAGGACCTGAGGCCTCTCCATCTTACCTCAGAGTTTTGGCCACTCTTGTACAGCTCAGGCAATGCCAGGAGTGTTTCTCCAGAGATGTCTTTATCGAGGACTCCAAAGACGAGAGGAGGCAAGGAGGTGAAGAAGAGATTGAAGAATATCATCTGCCAATAATCGATCATGGTGGAGCCAGAAAAACCACAGAAAAACTGGTACCAGAAGAGCAGGTTGACGTAGCACTGCAGGCAGAGAGTGTGGCCTTGTGAGTGAGGACCCACGGGCAGTGGTCACCAGCAGCTGCTTAGGAGCCTCTGGCAAGTCACAACGCTGACATGGAGCTTCTGTTTTCTCATTTGTGCCATGCAGAGTTGTGTAAGTATCAGAGATAACTAATCCTGAGAGCGGCAGCTGCTGATAATACTACTATGAGGGTTCTTTAGGACCTGAAAGGAATTGCACCAACTTGTTAAGTACACTATGCCGGTTCAAAGCACAGACTGTGGAGGCAGAAAAGGCTGGTTTGGAATTTCCAGGTCTGTCACTTACTAGCTATGTGACCTGGAGCAAATTGCTTAACTATTCTGAAGGTCATCTTGCCATCTTTCAGATGGGAACAGAAGTACCTAGACCATGGCATGGGATACCAAAAGGCCGTTATTATGATCAGTAGTGTGGACAAAGAAGGGGGTGCTCCTGGGAAGGGATGATAGAAAGACTGGACCATGGGCAGGAAGTGTGGCGGGAAGAGAATTTCATGACGTTTTCTGCACAATATTTTCCTAATAGTCATGCAACTCAGAAGGGTGAGTAAGAAATCTTCTCCCCAACTGTTTCTTTATGCTTTCTAAAGCTGTTTCCCACTCAAAACCACCCCACCTTGAGATGGGCTGGGTCATTATATTGTCTACCACACTGTAATATGGTTTTGTGACTTGACCAAGGTGAAGCTGCTGCTCCCAGAGTTAGAACTAGAACTTCTCAGCCTTGTGTGACTGAAGGCACAAAAAAGTGAAAGGTATTGTAAGAAATCATTCAGCAGGTTTGTGTACAAACTAGAATGCTCATGTCCTGACTGCTGGGCCAGTGTTATTTTGAAGAGGGTCTCTAGAATTGTAATAATATGGACATGTTAATATTAGTAACAACGATTATTACTGAATCTATTTGTGCCAGGTGTGTGATATATACTATTTTAGTATATAGTACATTAGATGTGCAATAGACCTAATTTGTCCCAACAATCTTGAAAGATTATTGCTAATAAAAAATAGTATATATATTAATGTTATATCTTGGTAATAATATTAATGTTATTAGCCCTATTCTACAGATAAGGAATCAGGCTTTAAGATACCCAGTTACCTCTTGTCCAAGTTCAGAGCTAGAAAGTCACACAACTAGCATCTGAGTTTTCAAAGCTCTTTCTCTTTGATCACTCCCAACATTTTTCAATCTCCTATTGGATGGTACAGTAACAGTTGTGACTGAGAGTCTTCTAGCCAAGGAGCTCCATCCTTTGGCTTTTCTGCCCAGGTGACCAGTGGGAAGTTTCCTAGCTCTGAAAGAGATCCTGGTAACCTGACATATCCTGGACCTTGCACCTTTCTGTCAGGAGTGAGAGGACTCAATCTGTTTACTGTGCTGCAGGTAGGTTTGAAATATATTATGGGCAGACTTTGAGTCTTGTGCACGTGACGTGGTGAGTTTCAGAAGAACTTGAAGTACTGAAGTCCCCTTGATACTAGCATTCAGCAGCTGTTTGAGGCTTTGACCTCTCTCTTTTTCCCCTTGAGAAACTTGCCTTGCTTCTCCCTCCCCAGCAAGATGGGAAAGACAGTAACTCTTATCTCCCTTACACATAAGTAACTTGAGCAGCTCAGATGGGCTGAGTGACTATACCAAATACCCTTGGCCACTTGGGGCTGGAACTGTGACTTGACGTTGTAGAAGCATAGGATGCCAGAGCTGGAAGTGACACCATCTTACAGATGAGGCCGCTAATAGAAACAACAGCAATAACAATAGCAACAAAAACACCTAAAGCACTTACTAGGTGCCAAGCTCTGTTCTGACCCATTTGGTCCACCTAGCAGCCCCATGAGGCAGTCATTAGTACTCCCATTTTACAGTTGAGGAAACTGAGCCTCAGTGAGAGGTCAAGTCATTGGGCTGGCAGTAAGAGCTGTTAAGTAACAAATTGGAGTTCAAACTCAGATGTTCTGGCTCCAGAGTCCACCCTCATAAATGGGATGTGGGAAGTGGATGCTCTTGTTAAAATCAATTCCAGATCTGAGACTACAGCTCAGTCTCTAACACTAATGTCCAGAGTCGTTTATCCTACACTGTGAGAGGCCAGGTGGATCCATCCTAAAGTGCTATAAGTGGGGAAAGTACTGAACACAGAATGCTGTGATTGGCAGTTTCTGCCATGGGTGCCAAGGGAGCAAGGCAGCAAGTTTGCCAGCTGTAGGCCATCCTCTGATATTTGCAGTGTAGATCTGGCCTTTCTGACACCAAGCCTCAATCTTTCCTTTCCAAACTGAAGCTTTTAAGTTGTACAAGCTTATCTGGTAGATTCTGTAATGCTTGACCTAGTTTTCACCTAAGCTCCAGCCATAGTCTAAGCCAAAGGAGGAAGAGAGCAGTGACCTGGCTGGTGTCGGAGGCTGTCTGAAACTCTCCGGCCAAGTGTGATGATATCATCGCATGATATTTCTTGAACAATTTATGTTGAGACATGGTGCTAGAGATGCTCGGACAGCAGACAACACACAAAGAATTTGACAACCACTGGAGAAGAGGGTGCTTGGACCTCTGGGAGGCCCTGAATGCCTTAGTGGTGAGGACATTCAGTCTGGGGAGTTTGGAGTATAGTATAACTAGGTCCAATCCTGATTCTGTGACATATTTAGCTTTGTGATCTGGGCAACCCCTCTGACTTTCAGCTACCACATCTATAGATAGATAATAACTGTCCCTATTCCCACAGGGCTGATGAAGCATTTACTGTGTACCTCACACATATTAACTCATTTATATACATAATGACCCTGTGAGTTAGGTAGTATCCCCCTTTTACAGGTGAAAAGACTGAGACACAGAGCTTAAGTAAGTTACTCAAGGCCACATTGCTGTTAAGTAGCAGAGTGGGGCTGGTATTTGAACTCAGTCTGGTTCTAGCACATATGCTCTTAACCCCTATATTACACTTAGCTCTCATAGTTATATATATACACAAAGTTCTGAGGACAGCATCTGGTATGTGGTAGGTTCCCTATAGATGATGATGGTGGATGTTAATGCTAGTGATGCTACTATGCCAAACAGTAACCAGCTGTGCTAAGTACCAAGGACACTACAGCAATCAAGGGTAGCATGGAGAACTCTGGTGACCTGGGTGTCGGAGAACTAGCATTTACTGACCTCCTTGCCTTATACTTCACACACGGGCAGTATCGAAGGGCTTTAATCCCTAGTCAAAGCAAGAAAACACTGCTTGGAGATCACTGGCTCATTTTTCCATAGAACTGTTCTTACTGAATTATAATTTAATATCGTTTTTATCAAGGGTTGTTAGAAAAAGGTACCATATGGAGGTTAATTTTCATTTCCTACAAAAATGCCACAGAAGACAGTTTCTTGAAGGTTTTTGTGTGACCTTCTTCTAAAGGTTTGCTTGACAAATTGATCTCTGAATTTATAGCAAAGAGAGTGTGTTCCTCCTATAGAACTGGTCTGCTTGCTTTAACCAGACATTTAATACTTAGCATCTTATCCCAGGTTCCTGGTGCAACTGACCTCTTTCCTTTCTGTGGTTCTGCTCCATACTCTTATAAATTTCCCTTCTAACTTCTCTATTGCCTCTGTTTTTACTATAAGTCACTTTCATCTCTTTTTGGAATTAGATACAGTATATGATATAAAATTATAAATAAACGGCCTAAAATATTTTCTATAAACTCAGGTTGTCAAGCCTCTCTTTCTTGGCAGGGAAACTGGCAAATTCATAGTTCTAACTGATTAGGTCAAGAATCTCCTGGTGATATGTCCATAGCACCATGACCTTCTTGAGGGAGATGTGCCTAAGAAAATAATTGTAAAATTTTCATCTTCTTTTCCTATAATAGTACTTCTTAATCTTTTGAGGTTCATACAAATTACCAGGGGCTCTGACTAAAAGCTCCATTCTGAGGTAGCAGTCCCAGGATGTAGTCTGAGGATCTGCATTTCTAACTAGCATCTAGCTGATGCTAATGCTGCTGATCCAGGAACCACATTTTGAGAAGCAAGATTTATGGAGACCAGGAGATGACACACTACTTCCTCCAGGCCAAAACTGGTCATAAATAAGGTTTTGTTGGGACACAGCCACATCAATTCATTTGCATGTTGTCTATAGTCGCTTTCATTGAGTAGGTATGATGGGCTATGTGGCCCACAAAGCTAAAAGTATTTCTTACCTGGCCCTTTGCAGAACAAGCTCACTGAGCCCTGATTTAGACTGTCAGCCTCAGGAGGCAGGGACACAGATGTTCAAGAATGATTTGAATAAATGAAATCAATTGTTGTTTTATTGTCCCAACAATACCCTGGAGGAGTTAAACACTTCAGTGTTTCCTTCCTCTGCAGGGCCTGTTAGGACCTTGCTTGCTTCCACTTCCTCTGGCTGGAATCTTTGCACTTCCGAGGGTGCTCCTGGAACCTGGTAACAGCATCACGGTCGGGGGGG